TATAGGACTCCCACAGATACCAAAATCTGAGATGCTCAAGTCTCTTATATAAAATGGCATGGCATTTGCATATAACCTATGCACATCCTCCCATATACTTTAGATCATCTCTAGATTACTTATACCTAATACAAAATAAATGTTATGTAATTGCTATACTCTATGTGTTACTTGTATTATTTTTTACTGCTGTACTGTTATTTTTCTATTATTTTTTTTTCCTTAGATTCAATCTGCAGTTGGTTGAATCCTTGGATGTGGAACCCTCTGGATACGAAGAGCCAACTGTATTCATTTACTTATTCAACATGGCTTTTTTTGGGGGGGCGGGTAGGGAGAGTACTTGCTATCCAGGGATAAAATGATAAATGACAAATCTCTAAGAATATAGTACTGTCCTTACTTTCAAACTCATTTTCAAAATACACAGATATATAAAATCACAGTCGCAATGTAATATATTAAGTGTGATAATAAAATATGCTCAAAACGTTAATGGGAACACAGGAGGCTGAACTTACTCTGCCTAGAAGGTCAGAGATTGCTTCATAGGTAGTATTTGTGTTACAAGTAGCTATTCTCCAAATAATAAAAATGAGGACTTCAGACAAACAGCCAATATGGAGTATCTGATCTGAGACAGCTGGTATTGTGGAGAACATTAAGCACTCCAATAAGGTACAGAATTAGGGGAGGGGGAGAAGGTGAGTTATGTTGTTGATAGACGAGATGAGATGCAAATCCTTAATTTTGTACATTCAGCACTAAGGAGTTCAGACGTTAATCTATAAGTGACAGAATTCAACTGAAGGTGGCAAGAGCATAAATTAGACTCTACTCCACCAAGGACGGAATGATAAACAAGACTCTGTTAAGAGCCATTTAATGAATCTTTGCAACAATTCAGATGTGCTACATGGGCCTGAACTACTTTGCTGCAACAGGGGTGGTCTGAGGGTATACGAGCAAAGAATTAGTAAGACATGGTGACTTTCTGCATATGGAGTGAGTTGGTGGATGGGATGAATTAATGCAGAAGTTTGGATGAAGAGCTGCTAAATTCAGTTTGTACATATTGAAAGCAAGATTCCTTGGAATATACTTTTTTAAGTTGATAAAAAAATAGCTTAATGAAACATAACCTAGGAATAGGGAGCAGGGGACTTTCTATAGGGTTTTGCTATGTGCCCCACTCCTTAAGTAAATGTAGTCATAAATACCACCTTGATATTGACAATTAATACTAACACCCAGCCACTTCCTTTGTAAAA